TTAATTCTCCCAACAAGTTCCCTCGCGTCTTTCTCGCGTCTATTTTCAAAACGGAATATCTTGGCACATTACTTGGCGGGGACACATTCGTATCTTCTATTCCCGATGCAGATTCCCCTCTCTAAATTTTACAGGCGGAATATCGCTCTTCGAAGATCGAACAACGGTCGAATAAAGGATTTCCCTGTTCACGCTGTTGCCACGTATACTCTGCTCGCGCTTATAATCCGACGAATCATCAGCAATATTTTTATTTTTCTAGGAATACCAAGTGTTTATGATTTTATCTTTTAATGATTTTATTAATCGTGTGTTGGACAAAAATTTATTTAACGCGATAACTTTTTATCTCTGAGCAACATAAAAGAACGAAAGAATCTTCTTCCTTCTAGGTGAGTCTCGTTTTCAAAAATTCCCTATTGAAAGTCTGTCAACTAACGACTTTCTTATTTGCAGTGATATTACTACAGCGTCCAATTTTGACGAACGGAGGTATTAATCGCCCCTTAAAAACTTCCGATGGATTATCGTACCACGCTCGTACCAATGCTACCCCGTTAATTGCGACGATTATTAACATGCTCGTAATTGCACCTGATCGTGAACTCGATGCAACGCACGAGATAGAACGCACCCATAGGTATGTATGAGTAACGGAAAATGGTGTGCTTGCCAATAGTACGCGTGAAATTTCCCAATTATAAACTTCGAAACTTAATAAGATCCTATAAAAAAATCTTCTCCTACAGATAGATGTATAGATATATCCACGATATACACGCGGTCTTTCAATCGAATAATCTTAAAAAAAAACTTTTTCTCTCCTCAAACACTCTCCCCGGATCCGACGGACTTTGCTCATCTTTTTCAATTGATAGGAGTAGCATTTCCCGACGCAGCGAAACCAATCGTGGCCACAATCACGGATCGTGCAGTATTCGTATAGTCGCGGTGGTTGTGCGCTGGACGACAGTGGTGTGCGGTGGACGAAGCATGGGCGTTGCGAGGGGAGCAGGGAGGAGGACGGACGGAGGGAGGGAGAGCAGGAGGAAGAGGAGGGGGGAGTTAGCGTTGTTTTACCGTAAGGGGTTAATTGCATTGCCAATAACAGATAATGCAACAATCAATGATTTAAGGGAGGTGGGGGTTGGGGAATGGAGGAAGGGAGGAAAGGACAGGAGGGGAGAGGCAGGAAAGAGGGACAGGGATGGAGATCGGGACGTGGTCGAGAATGGGAATGAGAGTTGGGAATCTGGGTGCGGAGGAGGAGGAGGAAGAGAGAGATGGAAGGAAGCAATACGCGCGTATATACGCGTAGCTAGGTGTACAACACAGGTCAAGGGAGGGAAACAAGAGGAACAAAGTGCGCGAGTTAAGGGTGGGAAGCGGACGATCCGTGCGTGGACGGTGGTCCAACGGCGTGCACACCGTGCGGCGTGCACGAGATACCGGAGGATGGAAGGTCGCGTGCGCCGCTCCCCTGTTCCCCTAAGGGCACCGATTGGTTAAGTACTCGTCCATAGCGCTCGTGTGTATGGCCTACATACGCGACGACGTCCTCTGCGAAGGAAGGGATACGATTACAGGGTAATACGATCTCGAGGTTGGTGAGATGGTTAAATAAGTGTATATATATATATATATATATATATATATGTCGTAATTCAACGATGGATAGTATATAGATTTTGTCTTGGAAGGAAACGTGTGTGTGCGTGTATATATCGTTCGATTTGGCAATGGTCGCGCGCACACAATGGTTCTTATCGAGAAACTTTTTGCAAAGTTTTGCTGAACACCAGGAGGGAGAGAGGAAGGGGGGAGGGGGAGGAAGAGTAATGTCCGTCAGGGAATTAATATAGGCAAGATTTGTTGTTATTGCGGGACACGCACAAACGCGGGGAAGGGACGAAGGAAGAGATTGGCGCGGAAATGGTGGCGCGGCGAAGGCTTTCTCAGGGTAGAGAGCAAACCCATTACTTACTATAACTGCCGTCGGCGGGGTAGGGGGCTGACCGTGGTAGGAGTTGCTGTCAGGCATCCATCATCGCGACTAATGGCTCCACTCTCCTGCCAATAACATCCGGGTGTGCACCACCGGCCGGAAACCTCTACGGTTTACCCGCTTTGCTCGATCTTACGTTCAACTGCTCCTCGCTCGCTTCCGCGCTCGAACAACAGCTCCCGAAATTCTCTTCTAGAAGAAAATTCTCTTTCCTTTCGTTTCTGGAAACAGAGGGAGAAGAAAAAGCATATCTGTCGTGTTTTATGAAACACGAAATGAATTGCGGAATGAATTTTTCACTGTTGATCGTAATAATCGCGATATGATTAAAGATAGGGCTGCTCTTCTTTTTCTTCTCTGCATCGTTTCGTGTATCCGCGTTTTCTGTCTCTCTCTCTCTCTCTTTTTCCCCCTCCTCGTTGTTAACCCCAGCTCGGTCCTCTTCTCACGATTCTCTGTCGCGCACGGGTTCGCGGATAGTCGAGATTGCGTCATGCATATGCAGCTGCATTTGGCATCGGAGTATGCCAGCCCAATCACAGCCGTGAAACTTGATTGTCGCCGATTATCCACCACCGATCGACCTAATAAAACGGAATATTTTCCACCATTACCACCGCGCGTTCGCTCCTTTTCGCTTTCTTTTCGAGATTCGAACGAGGCTTTTTTCCCCTCCCCCTATATCCCTGACCATTCCACTTTGCGTGTGTGTGTATATATATATATATACTTTTTATTTTTTTTTTTCCCAAACCGGAATCGTTCTTTTGAAAAAACGATTCATCGATCGAGCACCAAGAGAATTAATCGGATGTGTTGGAGGGCCTGGTGGTCGCGCCTAGCTGAATCAGGAATTTGAATAGCAAACTTGTTCGAGCCAAGAAGATTTGGCCGGTTTATTTTATATACGCTGACTCGCTGCCCGACCAGCACATATCCGTACCAACATTTACGTATACGGCGGATAAGAACCGGGCTGATACTTACCTGATTTGCAATGAGCCAGAACGTGCAATGCTGGTCGTGGTTTACAGAAATTTGTAACACGTGATAATAGACGAACGCCGGTTATTTCGGATTCGTGCGATTTTTATTGAAGAGGAAGAGTTAAAAGGGGGAAAAGAAATGATACGTAATTAATTGATTGGTATTTATTTTATGGATAAACTAGTTGTTCCTTCGTTGCGTAAAATTTTTCTACATTTCAGGTTCACGGGACAGGAATAAAACACATATTCGTTTCGTCGAAACGTGATTTTTCATTGAGAAAGATTGAAATGAAGATTTAAATAGAAATTTAAATCGGAAATTAAAATAATTTTCGGAATCAAAAAAAAATCAGATAGACCAAGGTTTTTTTTTTTTTTTTAATTGAACACGACAGGCGAATATTTGGACGACATTGTAATAATTTTTGTCACGCCATTTCCATGATCGCATAATGGAAAACGAATCATTCCTCGGATGCTCATTTCTCTTCAAATAATTATTTTCAATTCATCCGAATGGATGTTATATTTTTCGCCACTAACGCTTCGTAAATTGGCACTATAATAAATTCTCACTATTTTTTGCGCATATAGCAAAAAACAATTCTTCAATTCCAATTCTTTTCTACGAATATTAACGATTTGGAATTTAATCGCGCGTATTAAAAGATCGATTAATTAGATTCATTCGTCATTTTTATAAAAAAAAAAAAAGAAAAACGTTTCTCTTATTGCTCGTCTGCAAAATACACTTTCTCTTGTGATCATACAAAATTCTCGTTACACCTAAAGAATGAAATATAAAGATTTTACGATTTCGAGATCACGTCTCTGCCTTCATCGTTCTTTTTTGCAGAGACGAGCGTGTAAATCGAGACGAGTGTTTGCAGCGAAAAGAGAGGAAAGGAAGGCGGCCAGTGATTTTTTTTTCTGTAGCAACCAAGATAAAAACTATAACGACAGCGAAATCTGAAAAATCGCGAATCTTTCCCGACGATGGTACTCAGAGAAGCGGCATGAAGATTCAGCAGTTGTTATCGGTTTGCGAGAACGAAAGGGAGCGATACCTGTTGCATACGTCAGGGATTCTTTTCGCGCAACGAGCGATTCTTTTGAGAAACGCCTGTGACACGAGGTTACGCGATCGTGGTTATTACGATCGCGACGACGTGCATAGTTTTGCTAACGGAAATTTACTGGGGTTTTTTTTTTTTCTAGAAGGAAGAGTAGATAAAAGAAGGAAGGTAAGGAAAAGGAGATAAATAAATGGCTACGTATAGGGTGTCAAAGAAATAGATGGTCAAACTTTGTTCCTCGAATTCTTCTACTCTGTTTTTAAGAACAGAAGAAAGAGTATAAGATATTTTTCGATTTTTTTTTATCCATGGAAATTACTGTACGCAGAATGCCAAGGAAAAAGTGGCTGAACTATTGGTTATTGGATATTTCTAAGAAAGAAAAGGATGAAGAAATATAGAATTCGAAAATTGTTTCTTTTTGAGAGGGTATGGGTATGGTTTTTATTATAATGAAGTTTTGTAAGGATGTGTAAAATTTATTTAAATTGCTGTATACAAGGAAAGGATCAAATTTATTCTATTGTTTCTGAGGGGAGAAAAAAGTATGATACGATCAAATTCTTGCAAAAATTCTTTCCTTTCGAGATATAGATATTTTTTGATTACAATGGAGTTTTATAGGAACGCTTAGCTTAATAATTTACTTTTAACTGCATCCATAACTGTTGTTATTGTATAAATTACATTTTCAAAATAGTTTCCATAAATAGAAATTTAAAAAATTCAGAACATGGATTCTCTCTTCTGCCAAGTCCATATCTTGAAGAAGAGGAAAAATTCTCAGCCGTTATACGACAGATCTTAGATGGAAAATAGAATGGCAAAGTTTGAAGTGAAACTATTTCCATCCTATATACACGAATGAATAGCACGCAATTAGTGCGTGCATAGATTGCGCTTAGCGCGAGACAAACGATCTACGACAACTGACTAATTTACAATCCGTTGTCTCGATTGCGCAAGCGCGGCCTGCTGTCAATTGGAGGGGGAAAGAATTAGACGAAAGACGGACAGATCGAGAGTATCAGAAAATTTTCGGTGGTGTCGGTCGGTAAGGTGGACCAAGAGAGAGGCGGTGGTGGGCGCCATCGAAGCACCGGTTATCTCGGCAATTAATATGATTGAGGAGACATCTCTCACGTCTCCGTAATATCCAGCAATGGCCCAAGTTCTGATTGCTTTCCCCGTTCCACCCACGCCTCGCTTCGCTATCTCGAATACCATAACCCTAGCGCGCTTCCTCACTGCTCCCCCCTCCACCGTGTTCCACCGAGTTAACGAAACTGAGTTACGATACCCGGGTCCCGCAAACTGCGCGTTTCCCTTGCTTTTTAACCCACTTTTTTGACGGGGTTTCATGTTTCGAGTTGCTAACGACGCATCGAACACGCGCATTTTCGTATTATCCGGTTCTCGAAAAATTGTGATTCGAGCGTGACTCGATTGAAAAAGAAAACATTTCTCGTTGGATTTGTTCTATTTACATTCTTCTTTTTTTTTTCTTTTACCAACGATACAAAAATTGAAAAATTTTATTCAACAATTTCATCGAATAATATTTTTAGGTTAGGTTTTAATTATCACATAGGGATTGAATCATTAGTACATTATAATTCATTAGAATTATTTATTTCGGTATATCTATCGATACATTTTTCCAATTAAATGCATTTTTGGAAAATAGTTGAGAAATATTATTTTTTGTCGAGGTACATTAAAAATGAATGATCGTCGATGTATAATTAACTGAAAATAATGTAATATATTTGAACGATCAATTTTTCAAAGGAAAACATTATTACGTTAAGTTGAATAAATTTTATACTTCTTGATTCGATGTATCTGAATGTGTATCCTAAAAAAAAAAAAAAAAAAAAATAACAAATACAATCGACAATTGACGTATCATATATAATACTCATTTTCAATCGTATATATGAAAATCAGAAAATATGAAAAGGCTCTGCTAATAAATATAAAACAATCGAGTCGCGTGTATCATTTTCCACTTCTCCAATTCTAATTTTTTTTTTTTTAGAATATTCGTATTCAACGATCTGGGGAATAGAGTTTACACGAGCTTGTAAAGCGACACGTCTTGGAACCAACTGCCCATAATGTGCTCGCTACTTTTTATGTTGCAACGCGGAGAAGGAAGAGAGAGAAAATGAAACGCGAGAAGAGAGGGGAACGTGGAACGTTAGCGGAACGTTGGAACGAGAAGGATCGTAAAAATCGTACGTGACGAACCTGCACCTCTTCCCTTATCTCTCGTTCGTCCCCGCGATGCGACGTAACGGATCCCCAACCCGTAATCAGGATCGGAATCGAAAATTGCCGATGAATTCCCCCTCCCCCTCTCCTTTCTTTCACACTTTCTTTCGTTCCTTCTCTCACTTTCTCGCTTTCTCGAAAACGATATAGCATATTTGACGGGTCTGTTAGCGATCTCTTTTACCCACCGTGTCTCAAAGCCGTTGCGAAACGTTGCAATTGGAATTGAAATATCCTCTGTGCGACGATTTCGTTTCGTTTTCGATCGTTCGTTCCTTGTCTTCTTGATAATTTTATATCCGTCCTTTTATTCTCTCTCTGTCTCTCTCTCTCCTCCCCCCCTTCCTCTCTCGCGTAGACACTGCGGGGGCCGCTTTTTCCCGTTGATTAACCTTAACAAAAAAGGAAAGAGAGTGGGGCAAAGACGCGACGATCCTTTGTGCAGTTCCATCGAACGAACCGACGTGAAACGTTAGATTCCTTCCACTCTTTTCTTTCGTGCCTCGAATTGCAGATTTTGCCGCGGGTATGCAAAGAAGAAAAGGAGGTAAAAGATACACGCCTTGCTAAGAAGCATCTTCTTTTCCCTCCAACGATACATTCGATTCGTATTTCCTCCTCCTCCTCCTCCTCCTACTGCTCTGCTCGCAGAAAATATACTTTATCTAAATTAGAACGCGTAAAACGGCGAAAGATTGACAAACGGAGGGAATGGTCGGCGAGTAACGAGTAACGATAGCAGCGAAGTTTGCTAGCTCGGGTGTATAAAACGATAAATAGTCGTGTCACGTGCGCGATAAAGAAAGAAAGAAAAAAAAAAAGGAGAAGAGAGAGACAGGGAGGAAAGTTTGGCGAGGAAACGAGGGGAATGAGAGAATGAAACACATGTCCGTGTCACCGTCGCGTCGCCTCTCTCGGCTTGAATCCTGGAATTTATGCCGGACAGTGAATCATGTCAAAATTTGATTTGTCGATAGCTTTTATAGCGGCAAGTTATTGCGTGCGGGTTAGGTACAAATTCGGCACGGTATACATCGACGATATTTAAAACGTTTCAACTTTGCTGGTTTCGCCCTGTTTCCCAGTTTTAAGGATATATTGCCACGCAACATACACACACGCATACTATGAGTGAGCGCGATCTCTTTCATTTATTATTCGTTCCTCGAATAATACAAAATACCTGGCCCAAGTTACAGAACAGCTGAATATCATCAATCGAGGATCAAATCACGTGTAATAAAGTTACGCGTGGTTATCGTATCGATCGGTTTTCTTTTTTCTTTCTTTTTTTTTTTTCCCTTACCGGTTCACGCCGTTCAATCCATTTCTCTCGCGATTATCGCGTCACTGTCATTCGTTCGTCGACGAACGGATCGGAGGAATCGACGAGTTCGAACGAGGTTCGAAGTGATTTCCTCTTTTTTCCCCTTTTTTCCTTTTTTTTTTTTTTTTTTTTTTTCACGCGCGTCGTCCACGCGTGATAAAAGCGAATGTTTACCTAGAAAAGTATGGACGAATTTTCAAAAACGTTACCACGACTGTAGTCAGGCGGCAGCGACGGGAGATACGCATATATCAAGCGGGCACAACGAATATATCATTCATAATTTGTTCGGAACGGTTGATTTGTAGCCCGCGACGTGTGGCGTCGAGCTGTCCCCCTATACACGTGCAACCCCCCCTCTCCCCTCCCCTCGTCCCTCCCCCTTTCCCTCTTCTCTATCTCTCCATCCATTTATCTATCCATCCATCCATCCATCCATCCATCTATACTATATCTATCTATCTATCTATCTATTTATCTATCTGTCTATCTTTGTCTTATTCACGGTGTATCACGCACCGTTCCCTTTCCCTTCACCTTGTGAAATCTCCTCGCTTCTGCCCACTTTCTCTGCCTCTAACGCCCGCACTGTTACACCAAATTTCCTGCCCTCCGCCCTCCCCCTCCCCTTTTGATGTATCCGCATCGAGTCACGTCACATGGCCTTCCATCCCCTGCGAGTGTAGATTGAAATTAATACCCAATAATGCTTGTAAATCATTAGGGATATGCACGAGCCGTGTTAAAACCGTGCCTCCATCTACCCAGTGATAGCTGTGGTTGTTCTCATATTTGTTGCAACGTTGCTCTCTCATTGATCGAGCGGCAAAGAGAGAGAGAGAGAGAGAGAGAGAGAGAGAGAGAGAGAGAGAGAGAGCGCTATTATACTAATTACTTGTTACTTTTCTTTCTTAG